GCCCCTCTGCCGCCCGGCCTCCCCGAGGCACAGCTCCGCAGCAGGGACCCAGAAAAGCAACAACTACTCAAAACGAGGGGAGGGGGGTGTAGGGACATTGCAGGAGAGGAGCCCTCAGCAAAGGGAGAGGGGCTGGCAGAAAGCAGGGCGGTGTGCGGGGCGTGCCAGTGGTGTCGGTACAAGAAGCTTCTCCAGAAAAAGCAGCTGGAGTCTTGTCTGCAAAGTGGGACGGTAACCGGGCACAGGCCCCGGGAGAACCGTGGTCCCTTCCTCAGGGGAGGGGGGGGGAGTTGCAGCCCATTTATGGATGTGAAAAAGGAATAGTTTCAAAGTAATTCCAGTCTGGCTGAGGTGGGGGGACTGCAGTGTCCTCACCACCGTAACCGCTGGAGTCCAGACCAACCTGCGGGGCTGGGGGAGGCTCTAAAAGCTGCCCGTGCTTCTGGTTGCAGGGCAGGTCATTTCCATACACCGAGGGAATCTCCCTCCAGCCAAGAAGAGATGAGGCAGCACCACGCAGGTTTCTTTCTTTTTTTCAGGTTTGAGAAAGCCCCAGAGTTATCACCCACCCTTAGCGGGAAAAGCCCTCCCACCAGCAAAACAGAGAATTTTTTTGAGCACGTGGCTGTTTGGAATTTTTTTAATAAAATGGCTTTTTTTTTTTTTTTCAAATATTTGTAACTGAAAAAATAATTCAATTTAAAGATCCATTCTCTCCCCCATTAACTTGTCACTTTTAACCTTTTCCAGTTGAATACTCGCTCTGGATCTGATGCCCCAACACCATCCGTCGCCGATGGTGCTGACCACCCCTCGCCGTTCGCTGCATAGTGGAAGGGAGAGTGCGTGCTAGTCAAATACACATTACAAACAAGTAGTGGTTACAGCAGAAAGATTCAGGATTACATTCAAGGTAGAGGCAGAACATCAGACTTTGCTTTTTTTTTACCAATGGGTGCAAAAAAAAATGTATGTCCAGGGGAATACCTCTTCCGACAAAGAACTATTGAACTATTATTCAAACAAATAATAGTAAGAAAGCAGAGAACTGGGCTAGCCTGCTCTGGGCACTGCTGGGGGAAAAGACTTTCTAATATTTCCTGGGATGAGGCACCACCTTCCCCTCCGCTCCCGGGCACAGGGTTAGCGCTCGCTCTCCTGGCAGAAGCCCCTTGCGCAGGGTTCCTCAAGAGGTGAGGCTCGTGGGTCCCTAGCATCGGGGTTCCTTGCGGGCTCGGAAGCCCATCAGCCAACTTCAAGTACTTTTTAGGCAAAGTGACGGTAAGTAAATTGATGGTGGATGGGTAAAGGTGAAAGGGAGCGGCTCTGAGCTCAGCCTTTTCACCAACAACCCCGGGGAAGGGCTAAATCAGTAACGGGTGTTGGCATCGCTCTGCCAACGCCGTCTGGGGTGCCTGGCCCAGTGTGAGGAAGCAGGGCTGGGGGCGGCCAGGACTGCAGGAGGAGCACTCCCACCTTCCTCTAGAAGCTCATTGCACTTCGATTATGTCATTCTTTATTTGCTAGTTACAGCTCTGTAATTATTTGTACAAAAGAAATCACACAGCTGGTTTTGGTGGGGGCTACTACTCACTGTGGGCTAAAAAAAACCAAGAAGCTGCTTTTGCTTGCGTTTGACAAACAGGGAGCCTCACTTCTTTTTTTTCCCTTAGCATCTGCAGGATCCTCCCACCCTCAGAAGCCACTTGCCTCCTGTGCCCACCTGGTCCCACGGCTGGGCAGCGGCCCTGGGGGGGCTTTGTAAGGCAACTCCCAGGGAGCACCAGGGCTGCCCCCGGAGAGAGGGGAGGGAGGGCTCGGCGGGGTGTCCCACCAGTCCGTTATTCTGATTTTTTTTTTAGGACGTGACACTGGAGCTTGGGCAACATAAAGCAGGCAGGGTGGCGAAAAGGAGGTATCGTCTCCAACCCGGCCACTGAGGGAGGCAGATAAGAGGCTCTGACTTGCTCACAGCCCGGTGGGGGGGAGAGAAGGGGGCAGAAAGGCAGGCAGCTGCCAGCAGGCTCCCCCCGCACATGATGAAGGCAGGCGGTGGCTCCCCGTGCAGTCAACATGCAAACAGGGCTCAGGAAAGCAGGAGTTTCTCCCAGCTGCAAACCAGGCCTGACCCTCACCTGGCTGCCAGAGAGCAGCACACGGTGCCGGGCTGGCCTTCACCTGCCCCGCCACGGAGCGGGGGTACCCCCACCCCTGCAGCAAGGCCTCCCCCTGAGAAGAGCAGAGGTACCAGGGGAGCAGCGCGTGCCCACCCAACCCTACCCCCAGCCCGCTGCGGGGGGCAGGAAGGTGGGGAACAGCATCCTAAAGGAGGTATTAGAAAGGACGGCAGTTTATCCTCCCATCGCCTGAGCAGGGTCAGCACCGTAGGCCGTGCGCTTTCAAAAGCCCCTGCCCTCGAGACCTGCCTCTCCCCTCAGCGCCAGCAGCCCGGCCCCCGCTCAGGGCCCACGCGGGGCACGGCCAGGCCGTGTCTCACCTGGTCAATACGGCCGTGAGCTACTA